GCATATAGCTTTCAGGCATCTAATAAAAACGTACTTTTTTAACCCAAGTATTTTATTTTTACATAACAATTCATCAAGGCGTCACGTACTTTAATTAGTGGGTCAGATACAACATAGGTTAGACACACAGTTATCAATTCAACGCACACTGGAAACATTTATTGAGGACTAGGATAAAAACATAACAACATCACGCCTTTTATCCCTGAACGGGTAGGCAGAGGTGCACATTACAGTACTTAATACCACTATAGGTACATTCTAACATCTACTTTTCACTATTTATTTTATGAGTCCCATTTAATAGGGGGTGAGCCTATTGCCATATACCGGGCACAATTCCAGACTCCGTACGACGTAGTAACTGATTTTTTTTTTAAACCCAGTAATATTTTGCTCGATCCGAGAATCAAACCAGAGACCCCTTGCCTGGCCATCGCCCTTGCAACCACTCGACCAACAAGGCAGTCAACTAGGAAAAATTAGGAACTAAATAATGTTTAATTCGATCAGATCCTTTTACGACATAACGAAGTAGACTATAAATAATGTCTAACTGTTTACATACCCACCCCAATACTTAAGCATCACATTAGACTAAATGCTTTTACTCGGAAGAATCTAAACTCCTACACAGGTATAAATCAAGCATTCTTGCATTGCACTTGCATACTTCTTGAACTAAAGGCATTAATCAAGCTCGTTCGTCGTTCGTACTCTTAGATGTTACAAGTTATCTGATCATGTATGTAGATTCTGTACTATAGAAACGAAGCCATTAATATTTATACCTCTATAATGGAACGATTTAATCAATGCTGCTCCGTTGTAGGTATTTTATTTTGCGGATGAAATATTAAATTCTCTGGCGGTTGCCTTGGTGGAGGTACCTATGTATTATTTATGTATGGATATTATTTTATGCTTGAGATTCTATCTATTTCTGAATGGTTTTTTTATTTAAACGTAGGTACGTCTTCCGTTAGATAATTAGGTATATGTAACTCATTGTAATCAAAATTAGACTTAATGATATTATGAAAACAATTTTTATCTGATTGCCTCGTTGGCCAAGTGGTCGCAAGTGTGACTGCCGGGCAATGGGTCTCTAGTTCGATTACCGGGTCGGGCAAAGTATTACTGGGTTTAAAAAAAAATCTCAGTAGTAGCACGGGGTCTGGATTGTGCCCGATATATGGCAACAGGCTCACCCCCTTTTACATGGGACTCATAACATAAATAGTGAAAAGTGGGCGTTACATTGTACAGTGGCATAATGTGCACCTTTGCCTACCCCTTCGGGGATAAAAGGCATGATGTTATGTTATGTAGACTTTTATCCCCATATTCGACGGTTCTAGCTCTGCCAGTTATTGAATAAATACACTCTAAAACACATTTCTATTTAGTTTTAGAAACGATCGATATGCTTTCAGATTGGTAACAATAGTGATCCAGGAATAAACAAACTTAAACAATGAAACACCCATATGATAGCTATTGTTCGGCCATGTTATCAAATAATTGACGTAGGCACGTGTATTTTGTTCTACCTAGAACATCGAAACTTAATCACAATATGGAGTATTGTTGCTACCTGAAAACAATTATTGGTGTACGATAGGTAAAAGTTACAACAACGAATGTATAAAAGACGTATTACGCCATTAAACAGGCAGATATTGATTAGTTATCATCATTAGTGGTCCGGTTTGAAAATCGTAATTTATAATGCAACTTACTAAACAGAGGCTGGAAAGCACTGAGAGAGCGCTCCTCTCCTCTGTCATATGTATTGTGTAGTCCGTGAGTTGGCTCTCATGACACCCACAGGGAGAATAAGTAATAAGTAGTTCTACTTTGTCCTCATCTCATCACATCAACAGCCTATATGTAGCCAATGCTGACCTCTTGTCATATGCAGAAGCATTTTTGGTTATTAATCACCATGCTTACTTAATGCGGGTTGGCAAAATCAAACTTATAATTAGAAATTATAAGCCGAGGTTTCCATATGATGTTTTCGTTTACCCTTTGTCAGTGGCATCTAAATAATTTTAGAAAGTACATATAACTCGGAAGTAGTCACATTGGTTCTAGCTGTTGGTAGGTTTCGAATCCTCGTGCATGCGAAGCGGACGTTTAAACCTCCAGGCCACCACGGTATATTATCATAACATAGTTATATATAACTAGCTTCTGGCCACGACGAGGAGGATGGTTGACACTTCAGGTGATCGAAGGGCTGGCTACTACCTTGGGCAAAGGTTAAGCATTGCCATTCAACGTGGCAATGCTGCCAGTCTTTTGGGCACCCTACCTCACGATAGCGATGAGGAAAATGTTTTCTTTGATGCCTTATGATTTATTTTTATTATTATTTTTTAAGGTGTAATTATTTTAGTTTTAAATTATTTTTTTATATTTCAAGTTGTATATATTATTTATCATAAATTGCATCTTTAATTAATTCAAACTATTTTCATAAATAACTTATGTCTTAAATATTTTCAGGATTATTTTATGTCGTAAGAACCTTTTCCTGACAATAACAAACACAACGAAAAAAGATCAGCCAAATCGGTTCAGCCGTTCTCAAGTCATGGCGTGGCAACATGAAACGGGTTTCATTTTTATATGTAGTATATAAATAGTAATATTCACTACATATGTACATAACAGTAGCTCTTTATTCTTTTATATATCTATATATCTATACTCTTTTACGAGTAATGAGAAAAACGTTTTCTGGAATTGAAACAATATCGTGATTCGTTATCATATTCAGGTTATACGGTAGGAAATTGAATTCTACCTATCTCAACTTTACTTGAAATAGAGGTGTGTCATGCGCAAAACAGTTGAAACGTACGAACGCGAAAATCCATTTAATTTTAGAAATTGTTTTTACATTCTAGTACGAAACTCAAAAACTATTCGCTGTACCGAGACTGAGAATAGTTCGTAACAAAACCATTGTTTATGTACTAAATACATTGTTATAGACATTTTGGTGAAACTTCTTGTTTTGCGAATAACATTTATGATTAAAATTTTGATTTATGAAAGTCGTCCAACTGGCTTCCTCTAATTTTATATGTTTAGTGAAAGAATTTATATAAAGTAAAGAAGGTGGTATTTTTTTTAAGGGGGGACAATCATCGACTGCTCACGCCTGAGTAAGGCGGGAGGGAGTGTCAGACTCTTACTGACACTGACTAAAAACTACCCCGTTCCTTCTCCTGCACTTTGAGCCGGAGCCCCAGTAACCCGTTAGGTTCTCCGCGACTCCGAATCGGCATCAGCCCTGTTGGGCCCCATCCGTGGTGGTCTGATGGCTCTTTGAGGCGCGCGTGGAACGCGACGTGCCTTACGCACACAAGATGGTATAGGAATGACTTACTTGAGGCACTGTAATAATGAACTTTGATTTCATCGTAGATTTACCTGAAACAAAGAAAAAAAAATCTTTAAGTACAATAAAACAAGTGCTTCTAGATTTTTTGACCCTCATTTACTAAAAGATAAATCAATAATCATATCTGCCAAAACTTATATCATACTTAAATCCAGACATTTTGTTACACAATTTTGAAAATGACATTTGTATCATTAATATAGACCATCGGTTCACAAATAGACTATCCCAAAACTAATTAGCCTGATCAATGTCCGTAAAATCTAGTAGCATTGCGCTTTAAAGCCATTACTTAGTTTGACCAGCGTCCCAGTGCCACATATCTGACGGCTTGTGTAATTTACGTACGACATTCATTGCTGTGTCAGCTCCCTGTGTTTGATGTTGCAGCAGTTGCGCGCAGCAATGTGACTGCAAATGGATTTATACCTGTTTATGTACCTCCCGGCTGTTAGGTGCATCTGTATTGTTTGTCTTTATTTTTATCGATCTATTGTACTGTTGCAGTCCTATTAGTACAAGGAATAGTAGAGACATATGTAAAGATGTATGTATGTAATATGGTCGGATTTAGGTATAGATCCTCAAAGTTTCATTAGTTACCGAATGTGGTATAGCAAATTTCTATTAGGAAGAAGGCTTTTGTTCTGCAGTAGACGTACTCTGGTTGAGATGGAGAAGATGATGCAAATGATAGAATTTTTCATTTTTTTTTTTTTTTTTTGGGTGGATCGAACACATATAGAAAGATAAAGTGTTTAAAGAGACATCCGGCGTCAAGGATTTAAGACCAGCTCCTTGATCACTGGTTTCCTGCCTAGATAACTACCACCATAGAAAGATACAGTGTAAGAGAAGACTACATTTTTAATATATGTAGGTACTAATATAATCAGGGTTAGGTTATCCAGTCCAGAGCTGAATCATTACCACTTTTGGTAAAATATTTCACATATTCAGTACTCATTTAGTCAGGTAAACTAGTTAGCGAACCTTTTATCAGTAATTGGATATTTATGTAACATAAGAGACACGTATTTTGGAATATTCAATTGGAATCGTATTTATCAATCAATTACAAGACTAAATAGAAGATTAATTTATAATATCTAAACATAACATCATACGCCTTTTATCCCCGAAGGGGTAGGCAAAGGTGCACATTTTGCCACTGTACAAAGTAACACCCACTTTTCACTATTTATATTATGAGTCCCATGTAATAGGGAGTGAGCCTATTGCCATGTACCGGGCACAATTCCAGTCTCCGTGCTACTACTGAGATCTTTATAAAAACCCAGTAATACTTTGCCCGACCCGACAATCGAACCCAAGATCCCTTTCCCGACAAATGCACTTGCGATCACTCGGCCAACGAGGCAGTGGCAGTAATTTATAATAATGACAATGTATTATTCAATTAACCCTATACTTGACATTGTGCACTCACATGCACATTGAATTCATTTTTTTTTTTTAACAAAATATTACATCGTATCGTTTTAATAATAACTCTAAGTGACTTCGTAAACATCTCTTTACGTAAGAAAAAGAAATCTATATTTGTCTCGCTCACACATTGTCAGTGCTGAACAAAATGGCGAGCCGTCGGTCAGCGTCTGCGCAACGCTCTGTAAGTATCGTATTTTATCTCACTTAAATTAAGTTAAATGTATGAAATCGTTATAATTTTACTTTCTGCAAGCTTTACGCAATTGTCTGTTTATATTATTTTTGTGATAAATGTTTTGCATGTTCAGTAATTCACGATTGTTGTTAGGTGTGCATTCAAATACACACTGCCTGGTGCAGTATGAATGACTCAATATTTGTTGTGTATATTTAAATGCACACTGCCTGCTTTGCTGTGATTAACACCCTATTTGTCGTGTACATATAAATACACACTGCCAATGTCATAGATTATTACTATTTGTGAAGATATTACTTGTTGTGTCTATAAATGCACATTGCTTACTGTGCTACTACGTACTCGAGCCTTTTTTCAGACAGAGTTTTTTTGATAATGCATGATAACAAAACTTTCCACCAAATTGCTGTTCCTTAGCTTGCAATACTTTAATTTCAGATGACTAGAAGTCGAAAAATTCTAGCGTTGGTGCCTAAATGCGGAGCTAAGTCTGATGTAGAATCTAGCGAATCTTCGGAAGATGAATTCCAGATGTGTAGACCTCATCAAGATATCTCCGAAGACAGCTCCCCGGTCCGATCAATAGCGTCATCCGTCGAAAATGTAAACATCTCCGATTCTGATGACTGTGAGTATCGAGAAATATATGCCGTTGCTTCTGTCCATGAAGAACCGAGAATCAGACAAAACACTACCGACTCTATTTCATACTCACCTTCTATTCTTCAACACGATCCTGATATTATACCGCCTTCGCCATCAGTTTATATTCCACCGTCACCATCAATAGACTCAATCTGCAGCCCCGCATCATTAGCACTTGCCGCATCTTCAGCCCCTGCCGCAGCTGCCGCAGCTACTGTACGTCTTCGGCGTTATAAGAAAACTCCGGTAATCGTAAAAAAAACCGTTTTGAAACCTACCAAACTGTCTCCTAAATGGACAAAAACGAAATTTCAAGGATCAGCAGTTATAGAAGATAACATGTTTTGCGATTCTACTGATATTGAAAAATCACCGCTTGATTATTTTAAGTTATTTTTTACTGACGATATACTAGAACTTATTGTATATCATTCTAATTTGTATTCTGTGCAGAAAAAGGGCACATCAATTAATATTACCAAAGAGGATATTAAAGACTTCATCGCTATAAATATTTTAATGGGTGTTGTAGATATGCCGGCATACACCGATTACTGGTCAAACGAATTTAAATACAGTAAAATTGCTGACGTCATGACGTTAAAGAAGTTTCAGTGTATTAGACGTTACATTCATTTTAATGACAACTTAAAAGATGACGGTGACAGATATTACAAAATAAGGCCACTAATAGAAAAAGTTCGTCGTAACTGTGCGTCCAATATTCCTGAAGGAAAACGTTTTAGCATCGACGAGATGATGGTGCCTTATAAGGGTACTAGAGCCGGAAGCCGAAAACAATACATAAAGAATAAACCCAAAAAATGGGGCTTTAAGTTTTTCGTTCGTGCTTCACCATCCGGCCTAGTACATGATTTTATCATTTATGGAGGAGAAGACACTTTCAGACTCCATACTTTTGCTGAAAAAGAAAAAAGTATGGGTCTTGGAGCCAAGGTTGTAATAGCTTTGGCCAAATCAATCAAGCAAAAACCATGCTCCGTACTATACTTTGACAACTTTTTTACGTCAATTGAATTGATGCATCATCTAAGGAATGAGTATGGTATATTCTCCTTAGGTACAGTCAGGACAAATCGGCTTCGTGGGGCAGAGAAAAAATTACCAAGTGATAAGGAGATGAAAAAAAAGGGCAGGGGAGCTTTTGCACAGGTCGTGTCAAACGAACACAACATCGCTGTTGTGAAATGGTTCGACAACAAGTGTGTGGTAGCTGCAAGTACTTATGTGGATGCTCACCCTGTACATAACATAATGCGATACAAGAAAGAAGAGAAGAAAAAAGGTCTCGTCACATGCCCAAATTTAATAAAGCACTATAACGCTAATATGGGTGGGGTCGATCTAGCCGACATGTTAGTTGCTTTATACCGTACTGATTTAAAAGGACATCGTTGGTATTTAGTATTATTTTCTCAGATTCTGGACATCTGTGTCAATAATGCCTGGTTGCTATATCGTCACGAGAACAGTGGTAAACAAAAACTATTGCAACTCAAAAAGTTTCGAGTCACTTTATTTAGGCAACTGCGTTTTTTTGAGAGGAGTTCTAATATACAACCAGATGCCATTTCCAAAACTGAGAGAAAAATAAAAAAGCCTGTTGCGGAGAGGCCTGATGATGCTACTCGTTACGACCTAACTGGACATCTTCCTGCTTTTATGACAAAAGGCAGATGTAGACTATGTACTAAACATCAAACCAAATTTTTTTGTCCAAAGTGTAACGCACGACTGTGTATAGTTGAAGGGCGAAATTGCTTTATAGATTTTCATATTAAGTAGTATTTAAGTTTTTCACATTGTTACATAGTAGCATGTGAGTAAACATTGATCTCAGAGCATTAGAACTGAATATTGTGATAAATAATAATATATAGTTTAGCTTTGTTTAAAAAAATGTCTACCTATGTCATAATATTGTAACCGTAGCAAACCTAGTTTCAAATTGATCTCAAAACTTGTTGATATTTTTCAATTTCAATATTATTTTTATGTTATTGTTTCTTTTTTAGTTTTTGTGATTACATGGCAGTGTGCATGTAAAGACACATATTTTTTTGTAGGTTTTTTCTTGTGAGCTTGGCAGTGTGCACTGGAAGACACATAATATATCCTGAAAACTGAAATTCACGGATTTTTTATTTTAATTTTCCTGATATCCTTATAATCCAATTAACACAGGGAAGTAGTAAAAGTTTAATTTTTTAAAGGTTAAATTCTCTGCCAAGTATAGGGTTAATAAATAAATAAAGCCAAAATCTGAAATCAACGAATCACTGCGTGTTTTAATATAAGACATCCAAATACGATCGTTATATAATATCATTACTATCACAACCCAGAAACAATAGCAATAACAAAAAACAATACATCCAGAACGAAATCAAATTAAGAGTAGAGCATCCAGTTATTTCGTGACACACAAAACGAATGAGATAAAAACGATAAAAAGATAAGACTAACAATTAAACATTGTTTTCGTAGAACGAAACTGCAACTCCCGCTAACCAATCCCGGGTAACAAACGAAGATTATGCAAATTATTTCATTAAGTATGCACAAGCCCGCCCCTAAAATACCCACTTGATTAACAGACGTGGTCAGAATTCGTGGATAGTTCACGTGAACGCTTGAATTCAGCAGGGCTGAGAGATCTATGTGATCAGGAGTGTATTGTTCCTCTTTTTCTTCTTTTTCTTCGTTTCTATCCAACTGGCATGGAGTTTAAACTAGTTTTGTTACAAAATTTAGTGCTGAGCGACTGATATTTGGGTATTGGATTGCATTGGATGTGATTTGATTAAGTTGACTGTTATAATGCTTCAATAGTCTATTAGATAACTATAACAAGTCTTTCAGTTTTCTTTCTTCGTCATAAATTGTGATTTACAACTTGCCATTAGAGCTTTATCAGCTTTTACATTGTAAAAATATATAGTCCAATCGAAAATTATCATAATTGGTATATTTGTCATCCATTTACTAACACACTAGTAGAGGCTCACTCTATATCTATAATTTCGATTCGAATCTCAAGTTTTGTATCCAGTTACTAGTACGTACAACAATTCAATATCGTACAAAGTCGTTAAACTCTTGAACACTCACAAGAGTAAGACACCTCTTCAATAAATAAAAAGTATCTGAATTTATGTCTGAAGTACTCAGATACTAGAATTATCTCTATTATATATAACAGCGTAACTACGTAACTAGGTAAAAATGTATTTACTACGTATCTATGAAACATGTTACGTAAGAAGTAAATAGAAATAATAATAATTGTTTTATACACTACGTTAAAAAGACCAACTTCGAACCCCTCTTTTTTAAAGTCGGTTTATTGGTATCTTTTTTAAGGGGGGAAAATCATCAAATGTCTGCTCCCACCTGGGTGAGGCGGGAGGGAGTGTCAGACTCTTACTGACTAAAAACCACCACGTTTCTTCTCCTGCACGTCGAGCCGGAGTCCCGGTTACCCGTTAGGTTCTCCGCGACGGTTTATTGGTATAGGTACTAAAACCTTCTTCTAAGTGTAACAAACCCTTTTCTTAAAACTGCATCAAAATCGGTTATGCCAATCCCGAGATTATCACGCACAAACGTACATACACACATACAGGTTAGACTGAAAACCTTCTTCTTTTTGACATCGGTTAATAAGACTCGTTTGGTTTTAAGCGACTTTACAATTGGCATTGGAGATATGCAACTGGTACACGGGTCAAGTGTTCAATTGCGACGAGGAATATTTTTTGTGTCATTCACAAATTCATTGTTCTAAATCTAGCAGTAATGATGTATATGACATGTTTGCAATAGCACCTTCGAGCCAGGAGAAAATCCTAGAGAAGTTGTTGAAAAAAAACATGAAGGCTTTGTTAGTAAAAAAAAATAGAAGCAACCCTACGGCGCACAAATACTACACGAGTTATATATATATATATTAAACAAACAAGAGTAACCTAAATTCCGACAAACTGCTTAACGTAGCGACTTTAAATTAACAAAGTTAAATCCTCTACCTTTTAATAACTAACCATTTGAAAGGTAACTTATTACTGAATAGGTAAAAGTTTTCAAAATTCATTAAAACACGCTGAGATGTATGAATGTAGGTACCTATATATAAAGTGATTATAAAGTACCATTTTCTAGGGATTTGATTTTAATTTTCGGCTGCCTCGTTGGCCGAGTGGTCGCAAGTGTGCCTGCCGGGCAAGAGGTCTCGGGTTCTATTCCCGGGTCCGGCAAAGTATTACTGGGTTTTTCAAAAAATTCTCAGTAGTAGCACGGAGTCTGGAACTGTGCTCGGTATATGGCAATAGGCTCACCCCCTATTACATGGGACTCATAACATAAATAGTGAAAAGTGGGTGTTACATTGTACAGTGATATAATGTCCACCTCTGCTCACTCCTTATTACATGGGACTCATATCATAAATAGTGAAAAGTGGATGTTACATTGCACAGTGGCATTAAGTGCCGCAATGCACCTCTGCCTACCCCTGCGGGGATGAAAAGGCGTGATGATATGTGAAATCATTACTATTATGAAAATAATTTGTTTTTTACCATCACCATTGAAAATATTTAAAAATAGTAGGTGTCGTTAGTAGTTATATGATAAATGTGAAAGTTTCCTTGTTTGGATGGTTGTATGTCCGTCAATTACTCTAAAACTACTGAACGGATTTTGATGAAGTTTGGTATACAAGCAGGGTATGGGCTGACTTAGGTGATATGATTGTTTACCCCGATTAAATGCTCCCATGTGATAAAAGAGTAATACGGGGCCAAAACCGCAGAGAAAGGCTGGTGAGAAATGAATGACTTAGAGAAAGGTTTAGGTTATATGGTTTCTGTTATCTGCAAGTGACATTTAATTGGTTTAACTTTAGTATTTCCTATAGTTCATTTATAGAAATTAATAACTGTAATTTTTTTACTCTAACTCATCTTAAAACTAAGAATATTATACATAGATAAAGCTAATCATTTCAAAACATTCCTTTATCATTTTGAGTATGTTTTGAAATTCAAATGTTGCAAACAGAGACATACTGTTCTTTCCTTTTAAATCTCTTCTCTCCAATGCAAAAGTTTAAAAGTCACTCTCTTTTGTAATCGATTCGTTTAAAGCCAAACATGTGTTGTACTGAAAGAATTCGAATAAAACAAACGCTCACCACCTCGGGATACATGTTGCAATGTATTTATTTATAGTCACAGCACATAGTCCCTGTTGGTTCAGATTTGAATATTTCTTTTTTAGACAGTGGATTTCTATTTTTATCGCTAAAAGGTAAACAAAACTTTTTTGCAATTTTTTTTAGGAGGCTTCAGGAGCTTTAAAGGGGACGTGTTGATGCTAACCTTTAAAACATCGGAGTATACCATTCGATTTTTTGTTATTTTGGTAAGTTTGAGTTTTCCACACCTATTAAAATCATTATTAAGAAGACTGTACTTTATATTACAATAATTAAGATTACATTTTTGAGCAAAATAACAATGACAACCATTTTTTGTTTCAAATTTCAATTTTCTAATTATAAGTTTGTAATCGCCAACTCGCATTGAGAAAGCGTGGTGATTAATGCTCAAACCTTCTCCGTGTGAGAAGAGGCTTTGCTCAGCAGTGGGCATTTACAGGCTGTTGATGAACCATTTTTTCATTTAATTCGAACCAAATATTAACGATCTCTCATTCAATGAAACTCAGGGAAGTACATAAAGTTGGGAACAGAAAGCAGTTACAGTATCTCTAGACAATATAAAACTTTCATATTTACTCATCCTTGCAAGTTTTTCCTATACTACATTACACAAGTGCACAACTTTAACACAAATCCCATTATGGCAAGGTAAATCTTTTAAACACGACGTAAAAGGAAATTGTATTACGCAAAGAGCAATAAATCCATTGAAACGGTCAAATAAACAAAAAAAGGGGCGAACTGGTCAAAAAGTGGAAAGCGAAGAGTGGTCAAAACTTTGTACCGGGACCATGGGATACGATGAAAACATTTATTGTTAAAACTCCTTTCTCCTGGCCTTTTCCCAATACGGTTGGGGTCAGCACTTTTGGTTAAACGTCGCTAAGTATTTTTTGTTGATTGCAGGTCAACTGTGATCGTATTCTTTGAACGGTATTTAGCTTTGTCTGTCAGGTTGATCTAGAAATTGAAAACGTAACAGTTTAGCCATGATGGCGTTAGTTTTCTGTGCGAAGTACTAGAAAGTAATTGCTGTTTTCTTTAGTTTTATTAAGATGTAGTGTAGAAAAACCAGCTGGTTTAGTGGCATATATATTTCCTTTTCAGTTTATAGCCTGCAACAGCGAATTGGTTATCATTAACGTGTAATATTTATAGCAATTATAACTCTCATAGTTAAAAGGACCAAAATATGTGGTTTTTGTTTTAACTCTACATAAATCATTCTACGCTCCATCCGATTCAGATGAGTGGCACACTCGAAATGTTGTTAATTAGTTCCTGAAAGTAATAATATATCAATACCCAAGTGGTTCGAGGCAGATTACGGGAATATCCAACGTTTTACACGTGTAGCTTTTGAAAGCCGATCCGAAACCACAAATGATTTCGGGTTTTATCAACAGCTACCGAAAATAGTGTGGAAAAATCTTTTGGTGTATATTACAAAATAAACATGGAATCCTGTTTACTTCCAAAAGGAACAACAACCCTCACGATTAAATTAATATATAGTTCAGTTTTATACGTTGCTAATACTCCTGCTATTTCTTAGTACATTGTTCATCCTATAAAA